GGGGATCGATTCTGAGCCGATGTTCAGTCTCCAATGTCTCAACTAGCCCCAAACAGTGAGTTCCGTTCTGGGTGGGCTTTCTACGAGAGTGCGAGCGCTGTTCGGGGAATTCGCTCTTCAGCACGGGTTGCGAAACATTCGCTGAGGTAGAGGAGGATTGTTTTTATGCAGTGGAGGATCCCTTATGGATAGAGGAGGAACGGTTTTATGCAGTTAGATGAGGAACGTTTTTATGCAGTGTCGTTGTAGATTTAGACAACCGCAGGCTCGGAAATAACGATTTGGCGCGCGGGGGGATGAGTTTATCGGTGCGCAATTAAAAGAAAACCTCGCGAGCGCGTTCGAAAATCAAGGTCCGCGCTGTGACAAACAATATGTTCGCCGAGAAAATATCAATATATGCAGGCGCTATATATAAATATATACATACCTATATATATCACTTCCTCTCTTGGATCATACAACGCCCAAAGCAACATAACCTTATTCCTCGGATGCAGAAACCATAGGTGCGCACATCAATATCGTATTAGTAATGGTAGTAGTAGTAGTAGTATTATCCGTAATCGTAGTAGTCGTCGTCGCAGCTGTAGCAGCAGTAGTTGTAGCAGTACTAGTAGCAGCCGTAGTCGTAGTCGTAGTAGCAGAAGTAGTGTTGTCAGTATGATTCGTAGTAGTAGAAGCAGTAGTAGTAGTAGCAGTAGTAGTAGTAGTAGAATAGTAGCAGTAGCAACAGTAGTGGAAGTAGTCGTCGTAGTCGCAGTAGGTGTGGTAGTCGTGGTATGAGTAGTAGTTGCAGTCTTCGTAGTAGTCGTAGTTTTTTGTCGTAGTCGTGGTAATGGTCGTTGTAGAGTCGTCGTGGCCGTAATCGTACCCGTAGTAGTCGTAGTTGTCGTAGTTCTCGTCGGTCGTAGCAGTCGTACTGCTAGTAGTAGCAGTCGGCGTATTACTAGTGGAAGTTCGTACTCGTAGTAGTAGTAGTAGTAGTAGTAGTAGTAGTAGTAGTAGTAGTAGTAGTAGTAGTAGTGGTAGTAGTTGTAAAAGTGGTCGTACTAGTAGTATTAGTCGTAGTAGTAGTAGTAGTAGTAGTAGTAGTAGTAGTAGTAGTAGTAGTAGTAGTAGTGGTAGTAGTAGTAGTAGTACTAGTAGTAGTAGTAGTAGTAGAAGTAGTAGTAATAATACAGGCAGTAGTACTAGTTCCAATGGTACTGGTAGTAGTCGCAGTCGTAGTCGTGCTAGTCGCAGTCGTCGTCGTAGTCGTAGTCGAAGTCGAAGTCGAAGTCCTAGTCGTAGTCGTAGGCGTAGTCGGCTTCGTGGTCGTAGTCGTAGTAGTAGAAGTACTAGTACTAGTACTAGGACTAGTAGTGATAGTAACAGTAGTAGTAGTAGTAGTAGTAGTAGTAGTTGTTGTAGTTGTAGATGTAGTAGTAGCCGTAGTGGTGGTAGTAGTAGTAGTAATAGTGCTAGTAGTAGTAGTATTAACAATAGTCGTAGAAGTAGTAGTAGTAGTAGTAATCTTAATAGTAGTAGTAGTAGTAGTAGTAGTAGTAGTAGTAGTAGTTGTAGTAGTAGTAGTCGTAGTCGTAGTAGTAGTAGTAGTAGTAGTAGTAATAGTAATAGTAGTAGTAGTAGTAGCAGTAGTAGTATTAGTAGTAGTAGTAGTAGTAGTAGTAGTAGTAGTAGTCGTAGTAGTAGTAGTAGTAGTAGTAGTAGTGGTAGTAGTAGTAGTAGTAGTAATAGTAGCAGCAGCAGCAGCAGTAGTAGTAGTAGTAGCAGTATTTGTAGCAGTAGTAGTACTAGTCGCACCAGTCGCACTAGCACTAGCAGTAGCAGTAGCGGGGTCACCCTCGGCCCTGTGCAAAAGCGGTGCGAGAAAGCGATCACGTGCGCTTCGTTTTCAAACCGAGATGCGCACGCAGAGCTCACCTGCCGTAAGTTGGGCCTCTCTGGAAGCCTGTTTGTTTGGTTTTGAACCGCGCTCTGTCCTACGACGCCCGTTTTGTGAAGCCGGCAGCTTTCCTGCCGTACGCGCCTCGCCTGGACAACGCGGTCAGCGACCTTGTCTGTCCGGGCAGCATCCTTGGGGCCTGCTTGCACGGACCCACAGTGGCAGGCCTGTCTCAGTTTTCTGGTTGCACCGCTCAGCCATGGAGGCGTGGCGCTTCGACCCATGGCTCTTGAGGCCCAGCTTCGTATCTCGCCACGCTCCTCCGCGCGCTGCCGAAAGCCTCCCGGCAGCTTGCCCTCCACTTGCAGCCAGCTGAAATCGATGTAGGGTACGAGCGCTCCGGCATGCTCGCTGCTGCCAGGGATTGCCTTGGCCGGCCAGCGGCGAGCGGGGTGTTCCTCGACACAGAGCCTGATGCGCAAACAAGTGCCTACGCATTTTCGTTCGAGCACGCGGTAGCTGCAGGCGTAGCGCTGCGGCACCATCGTAAACCATGGATGCTCCGAGCGGCCGGTGCTGTACTCCCTGCAGGTGCGCCTCGTCAGTGAAACCACTGTCTGGAGGTGGTCCGGAAGGCGGGCTTGGATTTACAGCCAACGCCAGTATGGATTTGGCACCCCGGTCGGACGATGAGTTCCGCATCAATGTCCGCCGGCGTCTCCGGCTGCTGCTCTTCGGCTTCGCATGCTTCTCTCAGCACCCCACGCGTGCTGGAAGCGTATCTGGCTTCGCGCTTGACGCGTTTGGAGATCACGCGATTTCATGCGTGTCAGAAGGGAAAGAAACACACAGACACAATTATTCCTCGATTCCCCAGAACATATGGGAAAATATGGGAAGTGGGCGGGAAGACAGAAACCCAGAACATATAGGAAAATATGGGGAATATTTTTATTTGTGTGTATTTATTGAATCGCTTCGCTCATTCCGCCGGCCCGTGATATGGCATCGCTGGTTTTTGTCTGTGTGTTCGTTGCCCATGTTGCGCTCTTGGGGGCGGGTGTCGTTCGGACGCGTTGCGTGGGGAGTTTTGATGGTGAAGCAGTTCCCTGGGGGTCGTCTCTCGATGGGGCGAAATAGAGTCGTCGTCAAGATGCTTCTTTGGGGGGCCTCTTGGGGTCTGTTGAGAGGCCGTTCGGGGGCGCCTGGGAGACATGTTTGAAGCCTTCTGGGGCTTCTTTTGGGCCTCCTGGGAGTCTCCTGGGGCCTCTTGGCGACATCTTGGGGCCTCTTGGAGGCCTCTTGGGGCCTCTTTGGGACCTCCTGGGCGCCTTCTGGGACGGAGGGCTCCATTTTTGAGTTCTCGGTATCCCTCCTGAGTCCCTCTTGGGCCCGTCTTGGGGCCTCTTGGTCCGTCTTGGGCGGCACTTGGGCCGTCTTGAGGGCTCTCTTGGGTCGTTTCGGCGCCGTCTTGGGAGCTTCGTGGGCCGTCTTGGAGCGGTCTTGGGGGCCTCTTGGGCCGTCTTGGAGCGTCCGGAAGCCGAAAAAGCCAGAACACAAAAAACATAGAAAAAACAATGAAAATCAACGATTTTGGCCTCTTGGGGCTCTCTTCGGAGGCCTCTTGGAAGGCTCTTGGGGCGTCTTGGAGGCCTCTTGGGCTGTCTTGGGGGCCTTTTGGGCCGTCTTGGGGTCATCTTCGGCGTCTTCGAGCGCTCTTTGGGCGTCTCGGGGGCCTCTTGGGCAGTCTTGGGGGCCTCTTGGGGCACTCTGAGCGCGCTCTGGGGAGCCTGAGAGGCCGCACCCAGAAGGAAAACCATCTCTGAGTAGACTTGGTCGGGCGGCGGTCGGGCGGCGACCGGGCGGCGACCGGGCGTTGGTCGGGGTACTTTTCGCCGGGGGACCCCCAGGGGCCGCCCCGCGCGCGCGAACTAGAAATACTGTTAATACTGTTAACCAGTTACGGGAGATCTTAGCACGCCCTGGCCCGTTGGGCCGGCGAATTTGTGTGTCCTGGGGCCCCTTCAGCGTGATCGGCGGAGCCCACAACCGTTTGCATGATGGAGGCTGCGACGAGCTCACGGCGTGCGCTCGCACAGCCAGCCTTGCAGCCACGCGCGAGGCCGTGCCTCCAGAGCTGGCCACTGCAACCATGTGTGAGCCGCTCGTGGACGCCCAGCTCTGGATCCACTGCTCGCTCCCGGTCTTCCACGGTGACTTCACAGCCGTCAGCGCGCCACCGCCGCGGACACTCGGCGACCGCCGGTGCTGGCGCGTCCGCTGCCTAGGAGCTCGAGGCGGCGCCAGCGCGCAGGGCAGACGGCACGGGCCGCAGCTGACGCGCGTGCTACAGCAATTGGGAAGCGCCACCCGGCACCAGAGCCATATCCGTGGTACTGGTTGTGCACGGTCGCCGCTCCGCAATCGGCGGCAAGAGGGTTGCCGTCCTCCTCTGGGCGGGCCATTGTGGTGCTCGTCTCCTCTGCTACCGCGCCTGCGTCCCAATAGTGGCTCGCGGGTGCATTTTTCTTGCACAAGAGATAGAGCATCGAAACATGTCCGCGCACACGTGTCCAGAGCAGCCGCAGTTGCAGGCAGCAGTAGACGTAGCAGTAACAGTAGCAGTGCAAGTAGAAGTACAGTGGGAACCCATGCCAAGAAACACCTTGCTTGCCTCCAAGGGGGTGCCCTGGGTTGCCTACGTTTTGATGAATCTGCCATGGAAAACGTGACGTCCCACACCGGAAAAAAAATCAGTGGACGCCCTGGGGCCTCGGGGGTGGCTCTCTCGTGGAAGGTTTCTTGTGGACCTGGCCTCCACTGTAGGAGTACAGGGGCGATGGCAACGACGACCCCACCTACAGCGCCGGTTTTAACACATCTTCCGCGTGCGGATCATGTACTTAAAATGCAGGGATTTAGTATTAGAAACAAGGATGAGTTCATGCAAAGGTTTATTCATAGATTAAGCATGTATTAGAATCCTATGTTTGTTGTTCAAAAAAGTCATATGTCTGAAAAGCTGCCCTGTGAGCCTGGGAGGCCTTGAGTGAAAGGCGGCGGCGGCGGCCCGCGGCGGCGGGCCAGAGGTAGCGGCGACCGCGGCGGCGAGGCGGATGCCGCGCGGCTGGCGTTCGACCTGGCCGCGAGCGCGCACGACCTGGCCGCGAGGCTCGAAGGCCGCCCGCGGAGCCCGCCCGCCGACGCGGCGCCGACGACGACGACGACGACGACGACGGACGACGACGACGACGACGACGACGACGACGACGACGACGACGACGACGACGGCGACGGACGAGCGACGACGACGACAAGCGACGACGACGAACGACGACGAGCGACGAAGGGACGAAGGCTCGAAGGCTCGAGTGCGCGAGCGGGGCCCGCCCGCCGACGCACCGCCGTTCGGTAGAGAACTCAATGGGGGCCCCGTGGCGCCCGCCGCGCAGAGCGGGGCCCGAACGGAGCAGTCAAAAGAGCCGCGAATTCTGCGAGGCGCACAGAACGAGGTCAAACGACGCGAAGATCGGGACAAAATCGGATCGGAATAACTCGAAATCTCTGAGAATCGGCGGGTTTGGAGGATGTATTGGGCGCCGTGGCCGCTCCAGAGCGTTCCGGAACGCTCTGAGAGCGCTCTGGAACGCTCTGAAGCGATTTATCCCGATCCTAGCTCTGTTTTGTGTGCGCCGACCTTTGCGTGTAAGTTGGCCGCGCAAGCTCGCGCATAAGCGCACTGGCTTCCAATGTAGCGTGCCGCGCCAGCGGCCCGCGCGAGCCGCGGCGTCGGTTCGCGATGACCTCTCGCGTCAGATTTGCTGATCGTCGTTCCTGCGGAGTGCGTTCCTGATTGCAGGGTGGATTCCGAGCAGGTTTTTTTCCCGTCCCTGGAGATTCACTGCCTTTTTCGCTCGCCGTCTGTGGGTATTGAGCGCGGAGCGAACTGGAGGGTCTGAGGTGGCCCAGTATCGGCCCTGGCGAGCAGGCAGGGGGGGCGGGGCCCGAGGTCCTGGGTTCGGGAAGGTTCTGTTGACCCTTGTTCGGCCTCCCGGGTGCCGTCCTCGGACCCCACGACCAGGGCTGGAGCTAAGCGTTGTGTTGCTGGATTTCGGCTGTGCTGGCAGGGAGGTGCAGGAAAACCGGCAGGTCAAAACGGAAAGCAGCACGAACAAAACAATGAATCACAACGTTTAGGTCCAGCCCTGCCCAAGACCGTCCAGTCAGAGACGCATCCGGGGCTCAAAGGTTGCACCAGATAGACCCCGGGAGGGGTAGTCAGTGCAAATGGGGGTCAACCAGAGCGCTGGATTTGTCAGGATCCTGCAAAGCAAGGGGTGCACTGCCCCGGGCTGGCGTGCAGGATTCTACAGGATTCTGCGGGATCTTGCAACGCCCCACTGACCTGGGTTTGCACTAACCCTGGGCAGTGCGTCCCCGACCATACCCAGACGTCCCCCGACTTGATTTTCAGTCCGCGGCCCCAGACGTCCCGACCCCTTCCCTGGGGGTGTTTTTTTTCGTCCGGGGTTCATTTGTGACGGCATCGGGGTCCGATAACGGCGACCTTCACGAGGATGGCGCTCCTCATCAGCGGGCGGGATGGTCGTGCTGGCTCTGTGGGCCAGCTGTGGGCTGGGCGCTCCGGGCTTCGAGGAGCGGCGGCCCTCACGGGAATGGCGCCCCTCGTGGGCCAGAGGCCTCTGCGGGCTCTGTGGGCCAGCCGTGGGCCCGGCGCCGTGGCTTTCGAAAAGTGTCGAGCCTCACAAGAATAGCGCTCCTCCCAGCCGGCTGGAGGGTTTCTCCGGCTCTGTGGGCCAGCTGTGGGGCCGGGCACGGTGGCCCTCGAAGCGTGGCGGCCGTGAAGGCGCCCTCCTTGGTGGGCCAGAGGCCTCCGCGGGCTCTGTGGGCCAGCTGTCGGCCAGGCGCCTTGACCTCCGAAAAGTCCGAGCATTTTCTTTGGGTGGAGGGCAAAGGGTGAAATCTGAAATGCCGTTTCGATGGAATTTCGAGGCTTCAATTTGGAAAAGGTGAATCACAAGACGGATTGATTCTTGAGGTGCAACAGCCTATACGGATTTCACTCTGAGCCCTCCACTCTAAGAAATGCCCAGAAAGTGGCGACCCTCACGAGGATGGCGCTCCTCCCAACAGGCTGAAGGGCTGTGCCGGCTCTGTGGGCCAGCTGTGGGCCGATGGCTGCTTTGGCCTTCGAGAAGTGGCGACCATCACAGGGATGGAGCCCTTCCTGGTGGGCAAGAGGCCTCTGCGGGATCTGTGGGCCAGCTGTGGGCCGGGCGCTTTGGCTTTTGAGAAATGGCGACCTTCACGAGGGCCAGTGGTGGGCAGGGCGCTATGGCTTTCTAGCAATGCGCAGAGTTGGACCCGAAGGCGTAATTCTACGATGCGGAGCGTGATGTGCCTGTATTGAACATCGATTGACATGTTGGGGGTTCAGGAGTGTTTGTGGGAGGTTTCTTGCGGTCGAGCTCCTATTCCAGGGGCCGGATGGCCAACCCCCGCACAGGAACTCATGGTAAGTATCGCTAATTATCCGGGGGTCGCCGATCTATCGACGATGCATATCCGATTCCATTCCGACGTTTCTCCCCTTGAGTTGGTGCACCCTCTCCCCCTTAAAGGGCTGGGGGGCGGCATCGGTCGCGCTTTTTGTCGCGCTCGCCTCCTACCGCCAAAGGGCGCCAGCTCAGAGGAGGAACGGCCACCGATACTTTCACCCTTGCCTTGTTTGCGCCTTCTGGAGCCTCATTGGGGATTGTTTTTGTTTTCCCCTGGCGCATGACAGTCGCTACTCGGGCCAACTCCTCTGCCCATGGTAACGGTAACGATCGTACGCGCGGGTGCGCATGGACTTCCCCCTACATGCTGGCGCTCGCGCGCCACCGCTGGCGATCGCAGCGCGCTCATGCCCCGACGCGCCCCACCCCGCCCAAACGTTCCGGGTATCCGCCCCCCCGGGAGACGACCGTGTCCAGAAACAGTCATCGTTCTTTCTGCTCCCCCCTCGTTGTTCACCTGCTTTCCCCGTTCGCTCCCTCCGCCGCCCTCCTCCCCCACCCTGCCGCACGGAGAGATGCAGCTGAGGCTGTGGACGGCGTGGTGACTACACCGTGTGGTGAGTCAGTGGTGATTCGGGGTGACCGCGCGGTTTTGGGACTCGGGTCGTTTTCCGACGATGCCTCGGGCGACTGGGGCCTCCGAGGCCCCAAGACGGTGCGGGGACGGACCGCGCGGTGAGGTCGCTTGGAGACTTCGATGTCACCATGGGGTTTCTCACCGCAGTTTTGGGACCCCCACGAAAGCGGCGGAAGCATGGCAGGGCCCCGTTTCCTTCAGGACCCGCTCCCTGCAGGGGCAGGGCTGCGCTCCCCGCTTCGCCCGCCCGTTCCCGCGCAGAGGCAGGGCTGCGCGGGAGCGGAGAGCCTCGCCTTTGCGCGGGAGGCGAGGGCGGAGCAGAGATCGTTCCGTTCCGCCTCCCCGCTCCTCCCTCCCCGCGCAGAGGCAGGGCTGCGCTCCCCCGGCTCCCTCCTTCCCGTTTCCCGCCTCTCGCCTCGCCCACCCGCGGCCCCAGTCCTGCCTCCGTTCCCCCTTCCCCCCGCTCCTCCTCCCCGTGCAGAGGCGGGGCTGCGCTCCCCGCTTCTCGCTCCGCCCACCCGCGCCCACTCTCAGGCCGGAAGAAAGGGGGGGATTGGGGAAGGGGGGGGTACGAAATCTGCTGCATGCAGCTGGTTTCGGCCCCGCCGCCGGGCCCATTCCTCGATACATGGCCGCCTCCGGCGCCGGGAGGCGCCGGGAAAATCAGCTACGTGAGCTGATTCTCAAACCCCCCTTTGCTATCCCCTCCCTTTTGCCCACCCCGAGCATCCACCACCCCCGGGCCGCGCCCCGCCCTCGCCGGCGCGGAGGCCGCGGCATCCGCGCCTCCTCGGAGGCGGTGGTGGCGCAGCTGCAGCAGGGCTGGGGCGAGAGCGTGTGCGCCGCCCCCCCGCCGAGGAGGGCGGAGGAGTGAGGGAGGAGGAGGAGGAGGAGGAGGAGGAGGAGGAGGAGGAGGAGGAGGAGGAGGATGCGGAGGCGGGGCGGAGGCGGTAGGAGGATGCGGAGAGGAGGAGAAAAAGTGGGGTGAGGAGGGAGGATGTGATGACGGAGCAGGGGGGACAGGGAACGGAGGAGGGAGGAGGGAAGGAGGGAGTGAGGAAGGGAGGGAAATGATGAAAGTATTGAGGGAAGGAGGAAGGAGAGGAGGAGGAGGAGGAGGAGGAGGGAGGAAGGAGAGGAGGAGGAGGAGGGAAAAAAGAGGGGAGATGAGGGAGGAACGGAGGGGAGGGAGGGAGGAGGGGGAGGAGGGGGGGGGAGGGAGGAGAGGAGGAGGAGGAGGATGAGGAGGAGGAGGAGGAGGAGGAGGAGGATTAGGAGGAGGAGGACAGAGAGGAGGAGGAGGAGGAGGAGGAGGACGGAGAGGAAGAGACGGAGTTGTCGGCGGACCGTGGCAGAGCGGTGTGTGTGCACGTGTTTGCTAAGAGAGGTATGAGGATGATGTGATAGGGTAGGAGGAGGAGAGGAGAGGAGGAGCGACGGAGGAGGAAGAGGACGGAGTTGTCGTCGGACCGTGGCATGAGGTGTGTTTGCACCGGGGTGGAGCTAGAGAGGAAGAGGAGGAGCCGGATGAGGCGGAGGAGGGAGGAGGAGGAAGAAGAAGAAGAAGAAGCATAAGCAGAAGCATCAGCAATAATAAGAAGACGAGCAGAAAAGGAAACAGAGGAAGAAGAAGAGAAGACAAAAGAAGAAGAAGAGGAGAGGGGAGGAGAGGAGTGAGGACTGTGAGTTGAGGAGTGAGGAGGAGGAGATGAGGAGGATGAGTGAGGAGTGGGAGTGAGGAGTGAGGAGGAGGAGGAGGAGGAGGAGGAGGAGGAGCAGGAGGATGAGAAGGAGGAGGAGGCGGAGGAGTGAGGAGTAGGAGTAGGAGGAGGAGGAGGAGGAGGTTGGAGGAGGAGGAGGAGGAGGAGGAGGAGGAGGAGGTTGGAGGAGAAGGAGGAGGAGGAGGAGGAGGATAAGCAGGAGGAGAAGCAGGCGGAGGAGGAGGAGGAGGATGAGGATGACGGAGCGGGAGGAGGCGGAGTTAGGATTAGGAGAAGAAACAGGAGGAGGTGAAAGACTGCTAGTTGCTTGTCCCTTTGTCACGCCAGTTTCTGTTGCACGCTTCTCTTCCTTTTGTTGTCCGTCGTGTTGCCTTGTTGCCCGAGTCAGCTCATTCCCTACCTAGGCTCTGCCTAGAAGGGTTCTTACTAGTAGGCTTAAAAGGCCGGGCAGTGGAACCCGCTCCGGGCGGTTCCCCCGGCATCCGCCCCGCGGTTCCCCCAGTGACGTTCCCTTAGCTTCGCGTTGCTTATCTCATCTTAGCTTAACTTATTTCATCATACCTTAGCTTAGCTTCATCTTACCTCAGTTTTATCTTAGCTTAGCTTACCTTCATCTTAGCTTCGCTGAGCTTTAGCATAGCAGAGCACAGCATAGCATAGCGTAGCATAGCATAGCGCAGCATCGCATATCATAGCATGGGTGTAATGTAATTTCCTACCTAGGCTCTGCCTAGAAGGGTTCTTACTCTCTTGGCTTAAAGGGTCGGGCAGTGGGAACCGGCCCGGGCGGTTCCGCCAGTTACGTCCCCTTAGCGTAGCGTTGCTTATCTCATCTTAGCTTAGCTTATTTCATCTTAGCTTAGCTTAGCTTAGCTTAGCTTCATATTAGCTCATGTTGATCTTAGCTTAGCTTACCTTCATCTTAGCTTCGCTGAGCTTTAGCATAACAGAGCATATCGTAACATGGCCAAGCATAGCATAGCATAGCATAGCGCAGCGTAGCATAACATGGCATAGCATATCATAGCATAGCGCAGCTTAGCCTAGCATACCATATCATAGCTTAGCATAGCACAGCGCAGCATGACATATCATAGCTTAGCATAGCATCGCATATCATAGCTTAACATAGCGCAGTATAACATATCATATCATAGCATAGCGCAGCATAGCATGGTATAGCATAGCATAGCATAGCATAGCAACTAATGTTGCTTTCCTAGAGGCTCCAACTTCTAGGTAGGGTCGCACTGGGGTAAGTGTTGTTTTACTTGTTTCTTGACGCAACGGCCATCCAGCCAGTGTCGGTCTAGTGTAAAACGGAGGAGGAGGAGAATAATATTGATGAGGAGGAGACGAGGAACACGTGAAGGAGGAGGAAAAGGAGGAGGAGAGGTCATCCCCCTCCTTTTTACCTCCTTCGAGAAAAAGAGCACTGGCGTAACCATCAGCTGTCAGAGGTCTGCGAAGATTTCTTGGACCGGCGCTGGACCCTTCTGGCGACACCTCTGGTGCCTCTGGGTACACCGCCGATCCAAGACATCTGCGCGGACCTCTGACAAGCTGCAGTCGGCCCAGATTCGTAGGTCGACCCTGCCAAATCAAGGGTACCCTTGTGCCCTGTGTCTCGCGACCCATGCCCCCTGCAGTCCTACAGCAACGTGGCCCTCGGAGGGGTCTTTTGTCCTCTCGCGTGTCCTGTCCCATGAAGGCCGATTGCATGCGCCTTGTTCTTTCGTCCCCGCCTCCCCGAGGTCGGAAGAGGAGGCCCAGAGTCAGGAGAGAAAAAAACACACAGACACAATTCATCTTCGATTCCCCAGAAAACACGGGAAAATATGGGAAGTGGGCGGGAAGACAGAAATCCAGGACATATGGGAAAGTATAGGGGGATTATTTTATTTGTGTGTCCTTGGGCCCCTTCATTCTTTCGTCCCCGCCTCCCCGAGGTCGGAAGAGGAGGCCCCGAGGGCGTGCAAGCGAGACCCGCCGCCGAGCGAATCTGTACGCTCGACTCCCCCCTGATTTTGAACGGAGGTCAAGGGCGAGTCTACGAGCGACGCGCGTGCGTCCGCCGCCGCGCGGGCTCAAGCGGCGCGTTCTAAACACACGAGTGTCCTGTTTACGGGGCACTACCTCACCTGAGGAACAGAAGCACCTTTTCGATCGTGCGCTCTCTCATCCCATGTCTGATATCTTATCTGTCTGTTCCTACCTGCAGTATGGATAAGCGTTGCGATACGATTACACGCTTGAGGTGCAGTAGAACTCCTGGTACGGTTTACCATGTGGCTTCCGTTTCTCGGGGCCTTCTTGGGCGTTTTGGAGCGCTCGCTCGGCGCTTCGGAGCCCTCCTGGACCGCCTTGAGCGCCTCCTGGGCCTCCATGGGCCAGTTTGGGGGCCTCCGTGGTTCCGAGAGCGCCCAGCGGCAACACCTTCTGGGGCCCGGGGAACGCGCCGCGCCCAAGAAAATCTTGAGGGTGGCGAATCGAGGCGCACGGAATTTAGCGTGGGACTTGCAGATATTCCAACACGTGCCCGGGGGCACGGTGTCGGATTAGATGCCTTCGCTCTTCATTCGTCTCTCAGCCCACATACCGGGTCCCTTTTCTCACCTACGTTGCGGATCTTGCCTCGGAAAAAGGGGCGAGGAGGAGGAAGAACAGGGGAGGGGGAGGAGTGAGGTGGACGGCCCCCTGCCCCCTACGCCAGCAGGAGGAGGAACAAAAACGTCCCCGGGCGGCTTCCCCACCAGAGCTCCGAGATGGTTCCACAGGGCTCGGGGCGTCCTCGGGGCCCCGCCTCCCCCGGATCCCTCTCCCCTGGTCACTCGCGTCCGCGCCCCCTTCCCGCCTCTCTCCCCCTCGCGCACCGCGCCCCTCTTCATTGCCTCCGCCCGCCCGCCGGGCTCTCGCGCGGCTGTGCGCCGCCGTCGGGGGGCCGCGCCGTGGGAGCGCGCCTGGCGGTCCCGGTCGGCCCCCGAGGGCCCCCCCGCGGGCATCCCGAGTTCGGGGCAGGTCGGGGCTCACGCAGCGTGGGGGTCAGCGCTACTGCCATGGCGCTGCCAAGGAGAATTTCTTTGGGGCTCAGGGGGGGGCTCGGGTCCTTGGGCCGTTCCTTAGACCCAGGTCGGGGGGCCGATTCTTGGACGAGGCCGGCATTGTCGAGGAGCGCCTTTGGGTTCCTTTCTTGGCGTTTTGTCTGGCAGTG